TTTCATCAAGATCATTTTTTTTTTTTGAGACAGTCTCACTCTCTCACTCTTGGTAGAGTGCTGTGGCATCATAGTTCACAGCAACCTCAAACTCTTGGGTTCAAACAATCCCCTTGCCTTAGTTTTTCTTTTTTTCTTCTTCTCTTTTTTTTTTTTTTTAGTAGAGATGGGGCCTCACTGTTGCTCAGGCTGGTCTCAAACTTCTGAGCTCAAACGATTCACCCACCTTGGCTTCCCAGAGTGCTGGTGTTACAGGTGTGAAGGATCTTCGTGTTGAGTAGGATGAAAAGGAGGAAAAGGAGAAGTTGGTCTTCTTGTCTCAGGAGTGGCAGAGGCAGAAGTGGTGGAGAAAATGGAAGGTGAGGTAGGAGAGGCAGGTACACTTGGTGTAATTTCCATTGGAAAAAATCTATGGGTAAATGGATCCATGTAGTTCAAATGTATTGTTCAAGGGTCAGCTGTATTTTAAAATTTCATTCTGATTTTTTTCTGTTCTCATTTTTAATGGTTATCATAGAAATTATACAATGTATGCTTATCAAAGGCAACATTTAATAGTAACCTTATCCTCTTGGGCAAAGCAAGGCTCTTAGAAACTTTAATTCTATTTATCTCCCTCAACTAATATGTTATTCTTATCCTATGTTTTCTATATTTTTTAATCATCTGAACTGTAATTTGTACTTTTAATTTAGTATATATTTATTTAGTTTATGTACATATTTACCACTTTAACCCTTCTTACAGCTCAATCGATACCCCTTGGGTCATGTACTTTATGTCTAAATTGTTTAAGATTTCTTCCTTTGTGACTCAGTTTGTGACGTATTTCATTTTTGTTTGAAATAAAATATCTTTATTTCATTTACATTCTTGAATTTTTTTTTTTTTTTTAGTATAGAATTGTTTAAGGTTAAAGTTATTTTCTGGAGTATTGTCCCACTATCTCCTGGCTTCCATATATGTTTTGTTGTTTCCATCTGTTACTTTTGAAAATAATGTATCTTTTTCCGTATGTTTGTGTGTGGTACATATTTTGTTTTCTAATTTCACACTGATTGGCTGTCTTGGGTTTCTATTTATTGTGTTGAGATGTATTGGCTGCTTTAACTGGATTATTGATGTTGATCAGTTCTGGAAAATTCTTAGTTATAATTACTTCAGATACTGCCTCTGATTCTTTTCATGATTCTTTATTTTCTTTCCTGGAATTCTGATTAATATATGTTAGCTATGTACATTAATGCAATCATGGGGTACAATGTGTTGGTTTTATATACAATTTGAAATATTTTCATCAAACTGGTTAACATAGCCTTCACGGCATTTTCTTAGTTATTGTGTTAAGACATTTAGATTCTACACCTAGTAAATTTCACATGTACCCTTGTAAGATGCACTGTAGATGTGGAGGATGGGTGGAGGGAGAGTAATTGGTGGGACCACATCTAGGGTGCATTTTGTTTATAAATCGTAAACTTTATTCAAATTAATATGAAGGTACGATATTTAGGTTACATTGTTCTCACTTCCAGGGTAAAGTTCCATTTGTAGAAGAGCCCCTCACCCAGGGGGCATGTTATACATCCTCACAATATGCACATTAGGTGAGATCCCACCTCCTGCCCTCCCTCCTCCTGCCATATGTCCTCCCCCCTACTCCCCTTTCTGCTTCTCTCTACTCTGAACTGGACTATAATAGTGTTTTATTGTTCTTAGGAGCATGTAATTGTTTATATATTGATTTCATATTAGTATAGAGTACATTGGATATTTATCTTTACCTTCTTGCCATACTTTACTAAGAAGAATGTATTTCAGCTCCATCCAGGTAAATGTAAAAGATGTAAAGTCTCCATCTCTTTTAATGGCTGAATAATATTTCATGGTATACATATACCACAATTTGTTAATCCATTTATGGGTTGCTGGGCATTTAGGTTACTTCCACGGCTTAGCAATTACAAACTGAGCTGTAATACACATTCTAGTGCAGATGTCTTTGTAGTAAAATGATTTATGTTCTTCTGGGTAGATACCTAGAAATGGGATTGCAGGGTCAAATGGAAGGTCTACATCTGGACCTTTGAGGATTCTCTGTATTTCTCTCCAAAAGGGCTGCATTAATTTGTATTCCCACCAAAAGTGTAGAAGTGTTCCCTTTTCTCCACTCCCATGCCAACATCTGGTATTTGGGGACTTTGTGATGTGGACTAATCTTGCTGGGGTTAGGTGATATACTAGAATGGTTTTGATTTGCATTTCTCTGATGATTAAAGACGATGAGCATTTTTTCATGTGTTTGTTGGCCATTCATCTGTCATCTTCAGAGAAGTTTCTGTTCAAATCACTTGCCCACATGTAGAGAGGGTTGTTTGTACTTTTTTAATTGTTTAATTTGAATTCTCTGTAGATTCTAGTTATCAGGCCTTTGTCAGATTCATAACATGCAAAAATTTTCTCCCCTTCTGAGGGCTATCTGCTTTATTGGTGGTACTCTTAGCTGTGCAAAAGCTTTTTAGCTTGATTAAGTCCCAGTTATTTATTTTTGGTGTTGTTGCAATTGCTATGGGTGGGGTAGGGGTGGGGGGTGTCGTCCTCATAAAGTTTTTTCTCAGGCCAAGAATCTTCAATTGTTTTCCCCACACTGTCTTCTAGAATTTTTATTGTTTCATGTCTTAAATTTAAATCTTTTATCCAACAAGAATCAATGTTTGTCAATGGTGAGAGGTGCAGGTCCAGTTTCAGTCTTTTGCATGTGGATAACCAGTTCTCCCAGCACCATTTGTTAAATAAGGATTCTTTTCCCCATTGCATGTTTTGTTAGGCTTATCAAATATTAAATGACAATATGTGGCTGGGTTCATCACTAGATTCTCTATCCTATTCCATAGATCTGTGTCTCTATTTTTGTGCCACTACCATGATGCTTTGATCACTATGGCCTTGTAATATAATCTAAGGTTTGGCAACGTGATGCCTCTAGAGTTGTTTTCATTTCTAAGAATTGTATTTGCTATTCAAGATCTTTTCTGGGTCCATATGAATCGATATACTATTTTTTCAAGATCTTTAAAGTATGACATTGGTGCTTTGATGGGGATTGCATTAAATCTATAGATTACTTGGGGTAGTATGGACATTTTAATGGTGTTGATTCTTCCCAGCTATAAGCATGGTATGTTTTTCCATTTGTTGACATCTTCTGCTATTTCCTTTCTCAGAGTTTCATGGTTCTCTTTATAGAGATCTTTGATGTCTTTTGTTAGATATATTCCCAGGTATTTCTTCTTCTTTGGTGCTATTGTAAAAGGAATAGAGTCTTAGATTTTGTTCTTGGCTTGACAATTGTTGGTGCATATGAAGGCTACTGACTTTTGGGTATTGATTTTGTAACCTGAGACACTGCTGTATTCCTTGATCATTTCTAAGAGCTTTGTAGTTGAGTCCCTGGGGTTTTCCAGGTATAAGATCATGTCATCTGTGAAAAGGGAGAGTTTGACCTCCTCTTTCCTCATGTCTCTTAACTTTAAAAAAAGATTTTTTTCCTGTTGCTTTGTCTGTTTACCTTGCATTATAAATAATTCCTCTGATCTTTACTGTAGTTAATTAATTCTGTTAAACTGCATCTAATCTGTGGTTTAGTCTATAGAGTATTTTTATTCAGTTATTTAGTTTTCATTTCCACAAGTTCTATTTGGTCCTTTGTTCAGCCTTGCTAAATCGTTTTTTATAGTTTCCTGTGCCAGGAATATATTTTTAGCTTATTTTTTTTGAGACACATGCAGTAAGCATAGCCTTTTAAAATTTCAATATTTGAAGTTTTTGTGGGTTTATCTCTGCTGACTCTCATTCATGGTGCTTTGTTTCCTTGCTGGCTTAGTTAATTTTGACTGTTATCATTTTCTCTGGAAATTTATTTGTGGGACTTCTTTGAGATCTAGGATGAAAAATAGCATCTAAGGAAGATTTACGTTTGCCTATGAGACACCTGAGACCACCACCAGTTTGGGAACACTCTGAACTGTACTTGACAGGTTTTGTTTTTTTTTTTATTTAAGTCATCCTGCTTATTTTTTTGTTTATGTTATCATAAAATGTATGTAAAGTTTACTACTTAAATTATTTTAAATGTCTGGCTTGAAAGTTTTTATACCCTCCAGTAGATGTGAATGTAGGCTGCAATTTCACTGAACAGTTTTTCGTTTACAGCTTATTTACCCTTACCTGCTCTCTAAATTTTGGCAGCCTGCTATACAGGATGAGAGAAAGATTTCTCTGTTCACTGAAGCCATAGTCCTTTGGGTTCTCAGCTCTACTGGGGCAGGGTTGGGCAAGGATCCTCTCGTAAATGTCCTATGTCTTCTGTGTCTTTCAAGACCTCAAAAACTGTAGGTTCAGGCCACTTGATTGGGAAGTACCCAATCTAGAATCTTGGGAATAGGAAAGCATGAGATGTTTTTCTAATTAGCAAAAGAATGTATAAATTTTAGAGGTTAGTGGTATTATACTACAGAGCTCAGGGTAGGGAGAGAGTTTCAAGTTTATGGCAAGGGTATACAGTTTACCAAAAAGTTAGAAAAGGATATTAGATATCCTTTAATATTGGATATTTAGATGACCTACACTTGTTTAACTGGATTATTTGGACTTTATATTGGGTATTGGATTACCTGATGAAATTTTTTTGGTTATTATTGCCCTTTGGTAATGTAGTTTCACTAGAGTGTTGAGGATGAACTTTTGTGTAAAGTTAAAAAGAGAAGCTAGGCAATGGATGTTCCAAAAAAACTATAATTGACATTAAATATAAACAAGATCTTGATTTTTGTTGATATTAAGGCATATATGACTGTGAAGTTGAAAAGTTATAAAGCTAATGACATACAAAATGAATCATTAGGTATGCACATAATATAGTTTATAATGTATTTATTCAGAAATTATATGTGGAATTCAGACTGATAATTTAATGCTTCTTTTCACATTTTAATATTAAGATTCCCAGACGTCACGATGATGAGCGGAATAATATTTACGTGGAACTAATGCATTATGACAGTACATATAAATCACCTGTCCCATTAGGGAGTGTTCAGATACATCTTTATGAAGTAATTCAAGTATGTATCACAATCATTTTTTTCATCTTGGTATGCCATGTTGTCTAGTGAGTTGTCCAGTTTGTTGTTGTTATTTATTATATATGAACTTTTTTTTGGTTATTATTGCCCTTCAAACTCATGTGGTTAGGAAACAAAGTCTCTCTCTTGCTTTGAGAAAAAGAGTTGATTTATAATTGCATATGTTTTTTAAAAAATTATTTTCCAGAAAGTTAGTGATACAACCTAAAAGACTAAGAGCAGAGTCTTTTGTTAATTAATTTTATTTATTTGTATATTTATTTATTTTAATTTACAAATAAAATATATTTCTCATGTATAGCATGATGTTTTGAATTATGTGAAATGGCTACATCAAGTTAAGCATGGTTTATTAGATTTCTGTAATGTTTTAAGATAGACTGCAAAGTGTATAGGTTGGAGGCACAAATTTCAGTTTAGTTCTTTATCCTTAGTTGGACGGCTTACAGTTTACTATATGCATGTGTCTTTTAGGGGCTAGCCAAAGATTTGGGGAAAATTGCTTTCTCCTTTATAGGGGTCCTTCTCACTGTCTAGCAGTTAATTTTGTGGTTTCCCTGAACTCAGAGTAAAGAACTAATTGATTAGTGAAAAAGTATATACAAATCTGAAGGATTTCTAGTAATATTTATTATGACATAAAGAAAAGTTGCCCTCAAACAAAAGACAAAAGAGGCAGATTTCAGGGACTCCTATAGGCCAATTTTAGGATAATTTGAACACAAAAAATATTATTAACAACACTCTGAATAAAGAAAAAAAATCATGAGTCCTTGGTATCTTGAAAAAAAGAAAGAGGTAGCATGAGAAGAAAAAGCAAAGTTTTTTAAACAAAAGAATAGTTAATGAATGTAGCAGGAATGATAGTATTACAAATTTATTGTTTTTGTAACTCTTTATAATGAATGATAATTAATTCAAGCAAGACTTAACAGTGTTACTAAAACTATAGGTAAAAGGTTATCGAGGAGCAAGATACTTGCCTGGTGCCATAGTAACAGTTCATAGATTATTGCAAAGGAGGAACTCTTACTCTACAATAGAGATGTGGAAGTCACCATTTTAACCAAAAGCTTGAATTCTGCATAACTGACTAGGAATAATTTAACATTAGGTACTTTTGGTAGTGATACAGAATGAAGTATGCAGCATTACCTATTACTTATTGTCATCAAAAACATTTAACCTAAATCTAAACAAGTAATATCTAGAACTAACTTCAAGTTTACGGTAATTTAGAGACATAGGCCAAAAGTTAATCAATACCTTGAGGATATGATAACATAAATGCAGAAAAGCTAATATTTTAAAACTTAAGGTCATTTTAAAAACTGAGAGAAACTGTTCTAGATTTAAAGACAGCTTGAAGACAACAACTTTGATTGAATCCAGATTTGGAAAAGATAGTTAGGAAAGACATTCTTGGGATAATTGGAAAAACTATGTACTGAATATTATATAAAATCCTCCTTCCTTCCTTCCTTTTTCTCTCTCTCTCTTTCTTTTCTTTTTTTTTTTCTATATGCTCCAGCTAGGACTTCCACTATTAAGTTGAAAATAGAAGCAGCAAGAATGATTACCTTTGTCTTGTTTCTCTTCTTAGAGGAAAAACTTCCAACATTTTACTGTTGACTATGTGGTTAGCAATGGGATTTTCTAAATGGCTTGTATTGTGTTGAGGTACATTTCTTCTATACCTACTTTTTTGAGAATTCTTATCATGAGTAGATGTTGAATTTTGTCAGTGCCTTTTTTTAAAGCATTTATTGAGATCATTTGGTTTTTGTACTTCATTATGTTAACGTGGTGTATCACATTTATTGATTTAAGTATGTTAAACTATCCTTATATCCTTGTGATATATACCACTTGATCATGGTGAATGCTCTTGTTAATTGAATTCAGTTTGCCTAGCATTTTGTTGAGGATTTTTGCATTGTGTTCATCTCAGATACTGACTTACAGTTTTCTTTTCTTTTACTCTCCTTGCCTGGATTTCTTTCTGAGTAATACTGCCCTCAGAAAGGGAGTTTATAAGTATTTGCTGTTCTTCAACTTTTTGAAAGAGATTACGAAGAGCTGATACTATTTCTTCTTGAGGTGTTTGGTAGGATTCATAGGAAGTCATTAAGTCCTGGACTTTTTATTGATAGGAGACTTTTTATTATGGATTCATCTTTTTTACATATTATTGTTCTGCTCATATTTTCTATTTCTTACTAATTCAGTCTTGGTAGATTGTATGTTTCTAGGAATCTGTCTATTTCTTTTAAATTACCCAGTTGGTTGGTATATAGTTTTCATATAGTCTCTTATGATTCACTGAATTTCTGTTGTATCAGTTATAATGTCTTTTATTTCTGATTTTGCTTATTTGAGTCTTCCCTTTTTTTGTTAGTTAACTAAAAGTCTGTAGATTTTGTTTATCTTTTCCAATAGTCAAATTTTTCTTCTGTTGATTCTTTCTATTGTCTTTTAAGTTTGGGCTTACTTTGTTCTTCTTTTTCTGTAACATTAGGCTATTTTGTTTGAGATCTTTTTTGATATAGGCATTTAGCACTGTAAACTTCCATCTCAAAACTACTTTTGCTGTATCCTATAAGTTTTAGTATGTTGTATTTTCATTTTTAAGATATTTTTAAATTTTCCTTTTAATTTTTTCTCTGACCAGTTTCTCAAGAGCACGCTATTTAATTTTCACAGATTTGTGAGTTTTTCAAGATTATTCCTGTTGTTGATTTCTAATTGTGGTTATAAAAGGTACTCAATATGATTTCAGTCTTTTTAAATTTGTTAAAAACTTGTTTTGTGTCCTAACATGATCTTTCCTGTAGAATGTTCTGAATACATTTGAGAAGAATGTATATTCTGTTGCTGTTGGACAGAATGTTCTGTAAATATTTCTTAGGTCCATTTGATCTAATGTGTAGTTTAAATCCAATGTTTCCTAGCTATTGGATATCTCAATGTATTTCATATTGTTATAACTTTTTGATGAATTGACCCATTTATCATTATGTAATGACTTTGTCTCTTTTTATAGTTTTTAACTTAAAATGTATTATTGTATTAATGTATTAATGTAGTAAATGTATTATTGTCTGGTATAAGTATAGCTACCTCCACACTCTTTGGCCTTCCATGTAATTGGAATATCTTTCTCCATTCCTTCATCTTCAGTCTCTCTGTGTTTTTAGAGGTGAAATATATGTCTTCTAGGCAGCATGTGGTTAAGTCTTGTGCTTTTTTCATTCAGCCACTCTCTGTCTTTTTATTGGACAATTTAATCCATTTGCATTCAAAGTAATTATTAATAGATAATGACTTACTATTGCCATTTTGTTCAGTGTTTTCTGTTTAATTTGTAGATTATTCATTCCTCTCTTTTTCTCTTGCTGTCTTCCTTTGTAGTTTGATGGTTTTCTGTAGTGCTATGTGTTGGATCCTTTTTTATCTTCTGTGTAGCTCCTAAGAATTTTTGCCTTGTTGTTACCATAATGCTTACATAAAATATTTTATACGAAATAATAGGCTATTTTAAACTGATAACAACTTAACTCTGATTAATTGTACAAATTTTAGACTTTCATTCTCATTATAATTTGTTTTCTCTTTTAGCCTTTACACTAGAGATATACTTCATTTTATACCATAGTGAGTTTTGTATCTTCATGTATTTTCATGTTGCTAATTAATGATCTTTTACTTGAAGAACTCCTTTTAGCATTTCTTTTGAAACATGTCTAATGGTAAGAAATTCCCTCAGCTTTTCTTTTTTTGTCTGAGAAAGTTGTTTGTTTTTTTTTCATTTCTTCTTCATTTTTGTAGAATAGGTTTTCTGGGTATAGTATTCTTGGTTGTAAGGTTTTTTTTATTTTTCTTTCTTGTTTCCATTCCTTTCTGGCATGCGGGTTTTCTTTCTTTCTTTTTTTTTTTTTAATTTCCCGATACTCTCATGGAGCCTTATATATGTAACATGTTGCTTTTCCCTTGAAACTTTCAATATTCTCTCTTTGTCTCTAGCTTTTGACTATTTATAATTTATCTAGGTGTGTGTTTCTTTAAATTTATTCAGTTGGGTGTCTTTTGAGCTTTCCATGTCTGAATTTATATTTCCTTCCTCAGATTTTGGAAATTGTGTATCATAAGTTCTTTGAGTATATTTTCTCTCTTTCTCTCCTTTCTCTCTCTCCCTCCCTCCCTGCTCCTTCTTTCTGATACTCCAGCAATGCATGAATTATTCTACTTGATGGTGTCCCCTAAGCCCCTTTGGCTTTTTCATTTTTTTCTTTTTGTTTCTTAAATTGGATAACTTCTAATGACTTGTCTTCAAGTTTACTAATACTTTCTTCTACTTGATCTGGTCTTGCTGTCAACTCCTCTTCCCCCCCACCCCCACACCAATTGAATTTTTAAGTTTAGTTATTATATTCTTAGTTATTTCATACTCTGGTACTTTCTAATATTTTTGATCACTTTGTTGACATTCTTACTTTGTTCATGCATTATTCTTATTTCGGCAAGCATCTTTATGCCTGTGCTTTTGAATTCTCTGTCAGGTATGTCATATACATGGTGGACATAAAGTTTGTGTGCAATTTAAAATAGTTTAAAATAGTAAATTGCACAAGAGCTTTATGGGCATCCTATATCACCATTTCATTAGGAAGCATTGGCAATTTATCTTATTCTTTTATTTGGAACATATTTCCCTGTTTCTTCAATTTCCTTTATCGTCTACGTTGGTTTATGTACACTAAATAAATGTTTAGTCTGCCTGACCAGAGATCCTAGATGACTCTAAATTATTTGTTTTCCAACCTGCTATCTTTGTTCTTAGTGGTCCCTAGGAAATTAGAGTGTGCCAAGTTATGCTATTGCTTTGATAAAGGTCGGATAGAATCCAGTCCCTTGGGATGAAGCTGCAGAGGTTGGGCTATTAGATGTGCGTTCCAATTACTTTTTTCCTTGTAGAGATG